TGAATGATTGATTGTTGGATTAGTGATTTTCGGCATGTCATATGCTAAGGTAATTAGTCTCGTAAATGTAGTGAATTTTTCCCCTCTGAAGGTGGCGGTGATTTTCCCAATGGTGGGTTCCGACTTCTGTCCCACCTGTCGGCTTGCGGAGTTTTTCCCCAACCAAATACCGTTCTATAACTTTTCCTTCAAATGAGACAGCAATTTATAAAAGTGTGTGGTCTTTTGGTTAAGCACTTTAACCTGACAATGCAACTGCGTGTGATGGGTGCCTTTGGCAACGTACCTGGGTCTGTCCGTGGAGAAGTGCGGTACGGCCGTGGTGTCCTCCTGGAGGTAGCGGGGCCGCTCGGTGGTGTAGACGGGCTCGTAGGTGGTGTCTGGCACGGCGGTGGAGAAGTACCGGGGCCGCTCGGTGAAGAACGGTCGGTCCGTGGCGTCGGGCGCGCCGCTGTTGTAGTACACCGTGGAGTAGCCCTGCGACCGCACCGGACCCTCGGTGGGCGTCTGGTAGCGCGCTCTGCCGGCGGAGAGCAGCGTGACGTAGGTGGTGTCCTCGGCGTCGGTGGGGAGGCGCGTGGTGACGGCCGGGTCGACCGTCGACTCGGGCGAGTAGACGGGGCGGTCCGAGGAAACGGTCGGTTCGAACACCGGCTCCACCGTGCCGGCGGACGTGACGTAGCGTGCCGTGCCAGTGGCCGGTTCGGGCGTGGTGGAGCGGACGGCTTGGACGTACCTGAGCCGCTCGGTGATGACGGTGGGCACGTCGGTGGGACTGGCGGTGGTGGTGGTGGATCTTCCAGACGGAACGAATCTCGTTCTTTCGGTCGTGACGTCTGGTTCCTCGGTGGTGGTCGGTCGCCCCGACGGGGTGAAGCGCGAGCGCTCGGTGGGGAGCGTGGGGTCCTCGGTGGGAGACGGGGTGGTGGTGGTGGTGGTGGTGGACCGGCCGGAGGGCACGAAGCGCCCCCGCTCCGGGCTGGCGGCCGCCTCGGGCGAGGCGGTGGAGCGCGCCGAAGGCACGAACCGGCCCCGCTCGGTGGAGACGCTGGGCTGCGCTGTCGTGTTGGCTTCCGTCTGACGGGAGAAGGGCACGAACCGCGGCCGCTCGGAGGGTGCTCCATTGTCCGAATCCCTGGTCAGACGAGACGGAAAATAATTATTGACTTGTTACAATTTTGTTTGTTTTTGTTTGTGAAAGTTGTATAATCATATATAGTTTAACACATTCTGGTCGCTTCTCGCAGAATCTACGGTCGCCTTGTATTACAACGCCCGTAGAATCTATTAGCGCACGATTCATGACGTATATCTGCTTATATAATGTCATTTTTCCGTTCACTGACTATTCATAGAGGTTTCTACGTCAATAAAGTACCTAAAACACCACTAGGTTTCTTTTGATGCAATTTAATTGGTATTAAATAGCTTTAAAGTACACGGATGAGCATGTCCTCTGCAGAGAGATTTGAGGAGCGCTCTTCAAAATTACCACACCAAATCTAGTTATTTTGAATAAAAAGGAATGTTTTTTTCATTATTGCAATAGATACTGATTCAATGTTGTGTATAATGAACTAATATTAACATAATTTGTAAGAATTTAATTAAAATCTTGCTTCTATGTTTATTCGTTTAGAAATTATGGCCCTTCAAATATGCCTCGAAATGTTACATGTGGAAAAACGTTGGGATGAGACTATGACCTGAATGTGTAAATATGTCAATTTATTCGCAGTTTACTTTTCACTAGTATATTAATCCTATTCCGATACCCGGAGAACACGATACCTGAACACCCAGGCGTAGGGTCAACGGCGGACAACAGAATAAATACCAATCCTGCCGATCCTGCCAAAGGTCGGCGGGTAGGGGCCTAACTGGTGAATTAACAGGGAAACCCGGCGGAGCTTAGCACCAACTCCTCACTGCGCTTACCTTAGAACTAACGACGTGTGTAACGCCGGGAAACTCGTGTCTGGGTTGACCTTTCCACCTCCACCAAAATCCTTAGCACTTAGGGCCGTCTGTCCCTCCCTCCGGCGGGGGTTGAGTTTCAGGGCATCGTTTCCTATGTGTGAGTATAACTCCACAACACCTTATGTTCTATCAGGGGGAAACTAAGTCCCCCGGAGTGGACTTTAGGCTTTAATTCTCACCCCCCTCTCGTACTCTTTAGGCTTTAATTCTCACTCTCCTCCACTACCGAACAAATCCGGTAACATGCCGAAATCCGGATCCGGAGCCCAGTTTGTCCTCACAACAGCCTATCCAATCAATGCGTGGTCGGGCTACTCTGCCAGCTCAGAGTTACTAGCTTTCCAGACTAGTGATGGAGTCCATATTGTCGTATGAGAATCGCTACTCACATGCGCCGAGTTACCAAGTCCTTCTTTACCGAGAGTGTTGGGCCACAGCACGACGAATCCGAGAGCCCAACTGGTGGCAACCAGCACTAAGATTCGAGCGGCCTGAAGTCCCCATCCGTTTGCTCACTACCTACACAGTAGGCTGCCGACGTGAGTTCCGCCGAAACCGACGCAACCTATCGGGTGGTGATGTTCCCCGTCGGACTTTAAAGAGGATATCAGAGCAAGCTCCTTCACCCAATGCTACCTCAAGGTCAGAGCGCCAATGGCTCTACTCACCGGGCAAATCTGACGACCTGCAACTTAGCATCGCCTATTCACTGTCCGCCCGCACTTTCAAGCTAACGACGTGAGTGACGCCGTGAAACTTAGGGTCCGGGTGATCGTCTACAACCCTTCGCCAGAGATGGTGTCTACATACGCAGACACAATCCCCCCTGCGGGTCAGAGGTCTTCGAGTTTGGAACTCGCCCTTAGGGCAAAACCATTTACGTACTTAATATCCTAGATGCATACAGTACTCTTCCGTCCCGTGCGCCGGAGACCCGAAGACCCGTGCTGTCCGCCCATCTCACTTACCACTTACATTTAGTGGTTAGGCAGAAGAACAGGCCCTATGGCCTGAGCCTCGCCATTAATAAAGACATTATTATTATTATTATTATTATTATTATTATTATTATTATTATTACTTGGCGTCCTGTTGCGTGGGCGTGGCGCCGGTTGGGCGGAAGGGCTTGCGCAGGCGCGCCAGCGAGCTGAGCGCCGCCGCCGTGGTGCCGCGCAGCCGCGGCCGCCCCGTTGCCTGCTGCGGCGCCTCCGTCTCCACCGCCTCCTCCTCCTCCTCCGCCTCCTGTTGCTGCTCCTCAGGCGGCGCCGGCGTCGTCGACCCGCGCCCGCGCAGCCTATACGCGGTCACAGGGGGCTTAGAAAGTTACAGCTGCAGCGGGGAGACACGGGACAAGTGGGTCGCTCGTGAGTGGAGGATAAGGAATCGTCTCGGCGCTTTTCCGGAGTTCTCTTGTAGCTCAAAAAATGAAGATTGAGATTTTAAGGTAAATTACTTCGAAAAATAGTTTTTATGCGGAACGTCTTTATCTCTGATGTTATATCAATTGATAGCGGCGCTATTTCATGCGCGAAGATCGCAATTTATTTCTGTGCAATATCATTGCCTAAAAATTCAGCGTTTTATACAATCCAATTTCATCAACCAAGATCAATAAACCTTTTTTATGTTAACTCGAATATCGTCGATTAATGGGAAACAAACAAAGTTACGAGAAATTAAATTGGGTTCTTCTGTAGATTTGTTTTGTAGAAAGCAGGAAAAGCGATGATCTGTTGTGGAACTAGTTAGTTTTAAGCAGCAGTACTTTCATTGTTATACATTATATTACACACTAAATTTATAGAATAGGGACTAATTTCTTAAGCTACTGTAGTAGGTCATTTTGCACTCTGATGACAAGATTTATCGCTTCGAAGGGACAAAATGGAACTATAAATAATACGCTGATATAAATATGTAGTTGCATTAGAAAGAACATAGTACAACTGGGGAAAAAGTCTTTCAGCATAGGTATTCATAGAAGAGGTTCATTTTGTGTAAATTATTGGTAATTAGAATTTAATGCTAAACCGTTGGTTCCATGAGTTTTCCTCACATATTTGGTGCCCCGATTAGTATTAGTATTTGCTCTCTAGTATTATTGTTGAGATACTGTTTTGCCCAGCTTCAATCTAGCGAGAGCGCTCGAGCTGGCTACGAGCGGAGCTCCGAGCTGAGACGGGAGTTATCGCGAGGAAAGGATCGCTTGTGGAGGTGATGGAAAGAGTAGAGAGATTCTGTGTAGGCATCACCTTTAGACGAAAGGTCAAGTAAAGAACCTTCAGAACGGTTTGATAAACGTATCGTGTATCGCGGAATCGATGACAAGTTCCCAGAGAAATTAAGGGCGAATTAGGGGCGATTAACGTGTTGGTATTTGATAGGATAATTTTCTTAATTATACCAACTGTTTAATATTAATTTTCATGTAAATAAACATGAAAATTTCATTTCTTATTCGAGCATTGTTCAACTAAAAAAATGTTCAAAGTATTTTTTGTCAAATGTGACAAGGCACTAAAAAAGCCAAATAAGGTACATTTACGTATGTAGTTATTTCGATCCAAAATAAATTTTCAGTTGTATCCTATCCCTCTTATGTACGAAGAAAGTGATTTTCACATTATTTTATACGTATTTATGCATTATGCTTTTTAAAATAAAAACTCTTCATAATATTTTTTACAAATGTTACTAATTCAAATAAAAATCAATCATAAGTATCAATCGTGGGTTTGCATATAGAGTTTTGAAAAATATTTTTAGATGTGTGATGTTCTGCAAGTATTAAACGTTACACTGATTTGTAATCTGGCGTTGGCGATGCGTTGAGTCATGAGCTTCGGAGCCGATGGCTGTTGGGCGTTCAACCCCCCCCCCCCCC